GGTCCCCAGGCTTTAAGCCCTGCAATCGCTGCAAAAGGCCTATGCCCATCAGCGATCCACATACCATCTGCCTAAGGTGCTTAGGCGAAGGGCACATAAGTGACAAGTGATATATCTGCAAGTCCTTTAAACCTAGGATGAAGAGTGCTGAAAGCGCTCCTAATGGAGTTGGCACTCACTCCGGCACAGGAGCAGTGATCTGACTCTGCACCGAGTACCGCGGCCTCCGTGCGCAGTGCTCCACCGGTGCCGTCCATGAACCGGCACCAGTCCCCCTCCACAGCTCTGGGGAAGAAGCCAAAAAAGACTGGGAGGGGAAGATCTTCTACCTCCCGTAAAAGAAAGGAAAGGGCTGGGAGTGAGCCATGACCTGTGCTGGGCAGCTCAACACCCCCTTCGGAAAGTTGGGCCCCAGTTCAAGTCGAGCGGTGCAGCCCATCCCATGCTTTTCCTGCGACCCCAGGTAATGGTGCAGGCCCTAGCCAGCTTCAGGTGCCATCAATACTCGAAGCTCTGCGAGCAGTTCAAGAGATCCTGATGCTCCCCATGCCACCCACACCGGCTCCCGCGGTACCCCCCAGTCTCGGGGAAAACCCGTGTTGGGACCTATGCATGTCCCTGCCTCAGCGGTACCGATCCCCATCGAGAGGGACGTCCCACCAGCGTTTGCCTGCCCGAAGCCATCACGCCTCAGGACTGGAGAGGCAGGCTTAGCAGAGCCCTCTTTGGTCCCTGCACTGGGGTCATCAATCAAGGGACTCGAGGTGTACCTCGCCGGTAGATAGATGCCGACCCTCTGAGGCATGCGCCACCCGGCAAGAACTCTGGGACCAGCCCCAACCGTCTCCACGGGCCCAGGACCGATCCTGGGACTGATCGGACACCAGAGACTGCCGATCGCCAGGCCGTCATCGCCTGTCTCCAAGAAGGAGGTTGCTCTACTCAGAACGATCCTCCCAGCAACCGGCCTGTAGTAGCTCCCGTTTAACGTCCCAGTACCGGTCGAGTAGCGTGAGGTGTGGCTCACCAGATATCCGACGCAGATCTGCCGAATGCCATAGGTCCCCGAGAGCCCAACCAAGACAGTCTCACTCGGGCAGGTCGGCTTCGGGATGCAGCAACCGGCACCAGTTGGACAAGAGCCACCGCTCAGCCCAATCCTGGTTGCCTGGTACTGACCGCTCTGCTTGTAGCTCCAGCTTGGAGCGAGGTTCCCTGACTGTGGGACAAGCCCTGGTACCGGTGGTTCTGACTACATTATCAGCACAGAAACCCGTCCCAGGGCCCCAAGTGCAGTGGCCAGCGCCATTGTTGTTGTACTTAAAGTACTGCACAGGATCTTTTCAGGGGGAATCAGGCAAAACGCCACATTTATTAGTAATACATGTATTAATTAACACTGTATCATATGCATATGATATATATTACACTCATGCACTTACACACATACACACACACACACACACACAAGCATACTCTGTCTTGTTGTTGTTACCAATTAGTTGCTCCCCTTAACTTCACTGGCCAGGTGAGTTAGATGGAGGAGCGGGGGGGAGCCGGGCTTCTGCCGATCTGGATCGTTGCTCCCATGTTGACAAGACGAGACCCAGGGTTCTCTGCAAGACATCTCACTTTTATAGCAGCTTCCCTCTCATGCAAATCTGTACCAGATTCAAAATCTGTGTCTGTGTCCATTGGTCCTTTGTGCTGCTTCCTTCTGGGTGTTGTCCCAATGCTGCAAAGAGGGTATTTCCAAAAGAAGGTGCTTGCTTCTAACTCCCGAGGCCGTCAGTATGTCTGCTTTTCTTTAATGAGCCCACTTGACAAGTTTTATTGTCCTTGGGTCTGGCTTCCATCCCCTCTCCAAGGGTTGCAGCTGTCTGGAGGTGCTGCCTTCCAAGCCTTTACTCATTCACACCTCGTTCATTCAACAGGGCAATTGATTAAGAGTGGGGGGGAAGATCTTGTTCTACTGCTAGCAAAAAGACATTTTTCTTCTACTTTAACTATCCTTAGGGGCTATAACATTATACCTAGGCTTACCACAAAGTTTCTACGTGAGGCTTTGATATAAAGTTTCCATATACCAAGGCTCATCAGTACAAGGTTTCTATATTAGGCTTTGATACTAAGTTTCATGAAAACAGAGGTCACACGTGGGTAGACCGACTACAAGGTTATATGAAGAGGCACAATGTAAAATCATATGAAAATTATCAGAGATTTATCTACATGGTATCCGTGGAACCCTTGGGGGTTCTCCCAGGCTGCCTGATCGGTGTTGGGAGCCTTAGAGAGGCCAGCGGCCTCGGTATCCCATTCCCCTCCGGTGCGCAAGGCTTCAGCCCTCCAGGCAGCGTCCAGTGCTGCTGATGCTGCTGTCCGCACCATGGCTTCCGCTATCTCCATCTCACCCAGCAATCATTGCAGGACCTGCCCTTCGATGGCAGGGCCCTATTTGCAGAGCAGACAGCAAGTTGCATGGCCTTAAGGACTCCCGCATAACCCTGAAAACCATGGGTCTCTATGTCCCAGCCCCGGCGCATAAGCGATTCAAACCGCAGCAGCCTCAGGGCCAGGGGAGCCAGCCTCAGCAGGACCAGACCCATAAATGAGCCAAAGGTTACAAGTGCCACCCGAGCCATTCGCCTCCACTCGTTGGGCTCGACCCCATAATAAGCCAGGGGCCAAACGGTCATTTTGACGGTGCGCCTGAGGGCAACCTACCTGACTATTCCCCGGATCCATCTTTCCCAGTGTTCTCCGACTGCCTTTCCCCTTTCCTCTTGGCGTGGACCGCTATAACTTTGGACTGCTGGGTCCTCAACACTGTGGAACGGGGTTATACCCTCCAGTTCCTTTCTACCCTCCCTTCCCACCCGCCTTCCCCATCCCTCTTCAGGGACCCCTCTCATAAGAGTCTCCTCGCACAGAAGGTAAAAGGATTACTACTGCTGGATACAGTGGAAGAAGTTCCTTTCGAGTACAGGAACAAGGAGTTCTATTCCCGGTACTTTTTAATCCCAAAGGCCAAGGGCGGTCTACGGCCCATCATGGACCTGAAAGACCTCAACAAGTACCTACAGAAGCTAAAGTTCCTCATGGTCTCTCTGGCTTCTATTATCCCCTCCCTGGATCCGGGAGACTGGTATGCCACCCTCGACTTGAAAGATGCATACTTCCATATAGCGATCTTTCAAGGACACAGACACTTCCTCTGGTTTGTGATGGGGGCCCCACCACTACCAGTTTATGGTCCTCCTGTTTGGCCTGGTGACAGCACCAAGGGTGTTTACCAAATGCATGTCGATGGTAGCGGCTTACCTCAGGCGCAGGGGTATCCAAATCAACCTGTACCTCGACAACTGGCTCCTCAAGGGCAGCTCCAGGTCTCACGTCCAAAGGAATGTCACAGTGCTTCAAGCCATGTGCTGCTCTCTGGGCCTACTGGTGAACAACAAAAAGTCAACATTGGTGCCAGTGCAGAGGATAGAGTTCATCGGAGCGGTCCTCGACTCTACCTGTGCCAGAGCGTTCCTGCCACTGGAAAGGTTCCACACGATTGCGAACCTCATCGCGGAAGTCTCTGCATTTCCTCTGACTACAGCCAGGATCTGTCTGCACCTGCTTTGCCACATGGCAGCGTGCACTTATGTGGTCTGCCATGCCAGGCTCCGGATGTGGCCCATGCAACAATGGCTGGTGACAGTCTATTCCCAGTCCCGAAACCCCCTGGAGATCATTACCATTCCCCAGGAGATACTTACTTCGCTAATATGCTGGACCGACAGCAGGACAGTCCTGGAGGGGGTTCCGTTCGACAACCCTGCTCACTCCATCGAGTTGGTGTCAGACGGCTGGGGGGCACATCTCGGCAACCTCCAGACACAGGGGATGTCAAAGACCTCCGAGCAGTCCGGCTGGCATGCGGAGTCTTCTTGCCCCACCTGTCGGGCAAGGAGGTCCTAGTCTTGATGGACAAAACAGCTTTGATGTTCTACATCAACAGGCAAGGGGGAGCGCGCTCATTGGCTCCCTGTTTGGAGGTGCTCCATCTGTGGGACTTCTGCATCAGCCATGAAATCCACCTGGAAGCTTGTCACCTTCCCGGCGTCAGGAATACACTGGCAGACCAGCTCAGCAGGGACTTCTCGCACCACGAGTGGTCGCTCCATCCAGAGGTAGCCTGCATGATCTTCCAAAGGTGGGGAACTCCCCAAGTGGACCCATTCAGTACCAGACAGAACACCGATTTTGTTCTTGACAGGGTCTGAGCAAGGATTCCCTCTCCAATGCCTTCCTCCTATCGTGGTCAGGGAGCCTGATGTACACGTTCCCTCCGATTCCACTCATCAGCAGGGCTCTGGCAAAGATCAAGAGAGACCAGGTGCAGATTATCATGATCGCCCCGGCATGGCCTCACTAGCATACGCGCCAACTTTCCCCGGCGCTGGTGGGTGCTCATGCTACCTGGCCCCGCCCCGCCTCCACCCTTTCCCTGCCCCGCCCCCATTCCAACCACTTCCCCGAAGTCCCCGCCCCAACTTGCCCCCTCCCTGCCCCATTGGACCCATTTCCCAAATCCCCGCCCCGGCCCCACCTCTTCCCCGAGCACGCCACGTTCCCCCTCCTCCCCCCTCCCTCCCAGTGCTTGCCGTGTGAATCAGCTGTTTCGCGGCGCAAGCACTGGGAACCAGGGGGAAAAAGCGGGCACGCGGTGCGCCAGGGGAGGAGGCAGAAGCAAAGCGGAGGCGGGGGTGAGCTGGAACGGGGGGGCGGGGAGCTGCCGTTGGGTGCTAAGCACCCACCAATTTTTCCCCGTGGGTGCTCCAGCCCTGGAGCACCCACTGAGTCGGTGCCTATGCTCACCAGCATTGGTTTGGCACGCTCATGAGCCTTTCAGTGGCCCCTCCCTGACCTCTGCCCAACCAACCAGACCTGTTGTCTCAGGACCACGGTCACCTCTTACATCCCAACCTCAGGTTCCTCCACCTCTCGGCATGGATGCTGCGTGGCTGAACCCGGAGGAATGGACCTGTTCAGAAGGAGTCCAAGAAGTCCTCCTGGAAAGTAGGAAGTCCTCAACTAGACTGACTTACCTGGCCAAGTGGACGAGGTTTTCCCGCTGGGCATCCGAACGGGGCATCTCTCCCTTGCGTTCCTCCATAGAGGCTGTCCTGGACTACCTGCTCCATTTGAGGAACCAGGGCCTGGCATACTCTTCCATTAGAGTGCATCTTGCAGCCATCTCTGCTTTTCACCTGCTGATCCAAGGACAGATGGTGTTCTCCCATGACATGATGGTCAGATTCTTGAAAGGGCTGGAGAGACTCTTCCCGCAGGTGTGGGCTCCCATCCCGCAGTGGGATCTTAACTTCGTCTGCTCTAGGCTGACTGGCCCACCCTATGAACCGCTGGGTTCCTGCTCCCTTTCCCATCTGTCATGGAAGGTTGCATTCCCGGTGGCGGTGATGTCAGTGAAACAGGTCTCAGAAATTAAAGCCTTGACCTCAGAACCGCCGTACACAGTCTTTTACAAAGATAAGCTTCGGTGGCGGCCCCACCCGGCCTTCCTGCCAAAGGTGGTCTCCACCTTCTATATGAACCAGGACATCTTCCTCCTGGTGTTCTGTCCCAAACTGCACAAGACAAGTGAAGAGAGGCGTCTTCACACCTTGGACGTCCGGAGGGCCTTGGCTTTTTACTTAGAACGTACCAAGCCTTTCCGTAAATTGACATAACTCTTCATCGCTACAGCGGATAGGATGAAGGGTCATCCAGTGTCCTCACAGAGGATTTCCAATTTGATCACCTTGTGCATAAGGACCTGTTACAACCTGGCGGGGGTTCTGCTGCCGCCGATTGTCAGAGCCCACTCAACGAGAGCTCAGGCATCTTTGGCGGCCTTCCTGGCGCACATCCCTATCCAGGACATCTGTAAAGCTGCAGCATGGTCCTCTGTCCACACATTTACCACTCATTATGCCATCACTCAGCAGGCCAGGGATGAGGCTGGATTCAGCAGAGCTGTGTTGCAATCTACACGTCCGTGAACTCCTATCCATCTCCAGGGCTACTGCTTTGGAGTCACCTAATATGGAATGGACATGAGCAAGCACTCGAAGAAGAAAAGACAGTTACCTGTTTCATAACTGGTGTTCTTCGAGATGTGTTGCTCATGTCCATTCAATGACCCACCCTCCTTCCCACTGTCGGAGTTTCCGGCAAGAAGGAACTGAGGGTCGGGGAAGCCGGCAGCGCCCCTTTACTGCACCATGAGAGTGCCACTCCAGGGGACACCAAAGCTGGTCCCTTATGGATATTGCTACACCAGTGGTTCTCAACCTATTTACACTTCTCTATGTGTTATATGGGCCACATCAACACTATATCTATCTATCTATCTATATCAGGGGTAGGCAACCTTTCAGAAGTGGTGTGCCGAGTCTTCATTTATTCACTTTAATTTAAGGTTTCGCGTGCCGGTAATACATTTTAACGTTTTTTTAGAAGGGGTCTCTCTCTAAGTGTATATTATATAACTAAACTATTGTTGTATGTAAAGTAAACAAAGTTTTCAAAATGTTTAAGAAGCTTCATTTAAAATTAAATTAAAATGCTGATCTTACGCCGCCAGCCTGCTCAGCCCTCTGGGTGGGGGGTGGGGGGTTCAAGGTAGAGGGCTGGGTGTTGGGGGGGGACTTGAGGTCAGGGCAGAAGGCTGGGGTGTGTGTGGAGGTGCAGGGCACAAGGCTGGGGGGGGGTTCAGGGCAGAGGGGTGGGTGTGTGGGGGGGGACTCGGGGTCAGGGCAGAGGGCTGGGGTGTGGGGGGGTTCAGGGCAGAGGGCTGGGTGTTGGGGGGACTCGAGGTCAGGGCAGAGGGCTGGGGTGTGTGGACGTGCAGGGCACAAGACTGGGTGTGGGGGGGGGGGGGGCAGGGGAGAGGGGGGGGGCGGTGGAGGTGCAGGGCAGAGGGATGGGTGTGTGTTGGGGTGGGGAGGTGCAGGGCAGAAGGCTGGGGTGCTCGGCTCGTGGGGGTGCTCCCAGCCCCCTGCCCTGAGCGGCTCATGGCAGGGGGCTGGGAGGGATATGCCCTGTTCCACCCCCTTCCCCCAGGCCCGTCCCTACCTCTCTCTGCCTCCTCTACGGAGCAGGGAGCACGCTGCACTCGGCTCTGCTCCTCCGGGAGGAGGAGGGGCCGGAATGCACTACGTTGTGCGAAGAAGTGGGGGAGGAGGGAAGCTTGGCTGCCGCAGGACCAAGCTTCTGCCTCCTGCCCCCGCAGGGGAGAGCGGTGGGCGGGGGGGCTGAGTGGGGCGGGGGGCCGGGACCCCCTCCCCACCGCTCTCCCCTGCAGGGGCAGGAGGCAGAAGCTTAATCCTGTGGCAGCCAAGCTTCCCCCTCCCCCATTTCTTCCCATAGCGTGGTGCATTCCGGCCCCTCCTCCTCCTCCTCTCAGTGGGCAGCAGCGTGCCACTCAGAATCGGCTCGCGTGCCGTGTTTGGCATGCGTGCCGTAGGTTGCCGACCCCTGATCTATCTATCTATCTATATATATACACACACACACTACTGTATGGCCCGGAGGATGTTGTGTGTGCTGTTTGGGCTGCAAGCGGGCTGCAGGTTGAGAACCACTGGTCTACACTAACACCGCGTTGACCTTACTACATCGACATTGACTTTATGCTTCTCGTGGAGATGGAGTTATGAAGTCTGCGTAGATGGGCAGTTATGGCAGTGTGAGCGAAATTTTTGTGTAGACGCTTACATAGGGCAGGTCTACACTACAGGGCTAAGTCGACCTAAGTTATGCAACTCCAGCTACAGGAATAACGTAGCTGGAGTCGATGTACCTTAGGTCAATTTATAGCGGTGTCGACTTACCTTATGCTTCTCGTTCTGTTGGAGTACCGGAGTGGACGGGAGAGCGATTGGTGGTTGATTTAGCGGGTCTTCACTAGACCCAGTAAATTGACCCCCGGTGGATCGATCGCCACACGTCGATCCCCCCGGTAAGTGGAGACAAGCCGATAGATAGGTTGACGTAAGCTAGACTACACTGTACAGTAGACCGCGCGTTGGTGTAAATGGGGAGTAACTCCATTGAAGTTAATGGATTTACCCTCAGTGTAAAACTAGTATGAGATCAGACTCAGGTTCCTGGAATATTTGTGAGCCACCTGCCACAGGCACCTATTCATTGATTTCCGCCTATATGGGGCCCTTTTAAAAAAATATTTAAATTGCATTTAAAGCCAAGATGATTTTTAAAATGCTGGATACTATGTTTAATTTTTCACTTTTGTTTTTAAACAGGACCTCTTGAAAGATTTTTTGTATAAAAGAGAAAAAGGAGAACTTCTAATACAGAAATCAAAGAGACTTAAAAATAATCTTTTAAAGCAGGTAATGAGTTCTTAGCCTTTCATCAATTCCGCTTCACCACTTATAAAATGTTGCAGTGAATCATTAGCATCTGTGTAGTGAGAATACTATGTTTTAGCATTCTATATGATACATTACAATAATTTCAATAATTTTAAAACAAATTGAAACAGTCTATACCAATCTATGTATATTTTAACTTAGATGCAACTATCAGTTTCGAAAGATGGATTTGTTCACTTTGGAGACACTGTGATGCTTTTGAGCCCTGAAAACAACAAATCACCTACGGAGAATTACCCTGCAGCGTGTGGCAATCTAACTTTGGCTGTTAATCCAGATGATATAACAGTACATACATCTGAGTCATTGCAAGTCCCCTGTGGATTGAGTGCAGTGAAAAGTGTGAACCCTGTTGGTCGAAATGCATTTCGTATCCTAAGGTTTGGTGTCTTGCATTCAGTAGATTCAGTAGTAGTTAAACCCTTGTGTTAAGATTTGATCTTATTTTGTGAAAATCAATGTGCAGAGCAACATTTTATTGATTTCATACTAATGGCTTAATTTTTATTACACATTAGGCCCGATTCTGCTCTCATGCTAGTGTGCATCCAGTAATTCCAATGAAATCAATGAGATTACATCAGTATAAATCTGGTGCAAAAGCAGAATCAGGCTCACTGTATTTCTTTTTCATAAACTAACAAATACTTTAAAGTTGAATAAACTCTACAGTTTATTATTGACATAGAGCAATATTTTTAGTTAACAAAGCATTTACAAACATAACTAGTTACCTTGCATGGATGTTATGAGAATTAGTTAAATCTTACATACTTCCTTCTTCTGTGCAAGGACATAAAAGAGCAAAGGGTGCCTCTTTGCCCTGACATTCTAAAAGTTGAGCAGTATCTCTGGATAGTTCTTGAGAATATTAGAAAAGATGGCATACTTCAATTGTAAACTGTTTGGGGTAGAGGCTCTCTTTTTGTTATATGTGTATATAGAGCCTACACTTCTGTGTAGATAGGAATGTTTTCATGAACTAAAAAGAAACTCCAAAAATATTTATTTTATTTATTTAAACATTCCCTGCTGTGGGTTTAAAAGCCAAATGTTGTATCACTGTGCTAATGGAAGGGAACTAGATGCTGACCTTGACTAGAGACACCTGGATCTGTAAACTCACCAAAATCTAAAAAAGTAAATAAACAGCATAAATTATGTAAAGTTAAATTTATTTTTAAAATTATTTCAGAATTGGTAATATAGATAAGGGAAAAGACGATGCAATTTTAATCTGATAGCCTAGTCATAACCACTGAAGTGGATGATGGGGACATGTTGCCCTGATAAATGTAGCTACAGGACTAAAGCATTTTCAGTTTCCTCTTTTTTTATGAGGTTGTACCACTGCCTAGCAGTGCCCCTTTAACAAAATACATCAGTGTTGCAGAATAATACTTATGATCAAAGGAAATGAGTTATGGTTATTACTATGGCAACTTGACTTTTGAATTTAAATTCTCAACTTTGACATTTCATTAGCAGACATTTATTTTTTGCATTGAAATGGATGATAAATCGATATGAAAACTAAACAATATGATAAATTACAGGGAAACACTCCTTTTGCTTTTTGGCAGGGATTTTTCAGATACATGAATTAAACATACAGAATGGGATTTTCAATGGAACCTAAGGGAATTAAATGCTGAACTACCTCTGAATTTCAATGATATTTGGACACCAAGCTCCTTTAAACTCCTTTGAAAATCCCAGCCTATGTGTTTAATGTATGCAGCTGAAAAATAGCATTGAGAGCCTAATTTTCCACTCTGAGGATTAAATATTTATGTAGTAAATTATTTAAATTCCAACTCTTTCTATAATGTATTTTCTAATAGCAACGTTAATAATAAGCAGTGACACCAGCCTCTTCTATAATTAGTAATTCTGAACACACACACATATATATATACACACAAATCAATGCATATGGCATGTTTCAATTTATATGGTTCTTTTCCTGTGTTAACAGTGTTGAAGGAAATTCGATGGGTGAACCCATTAGATTTGGGCAGAATTTTGGTCTTGGGGCAACAGGCGGTTTTACCGATCAAATGGTAAGTCAACAGAGGTGTAAACTAAAACTGTAGTATATATTGATACTGTAAGTTAGGTTACTGTACATATTTTGCATTCTATTTTTGTGCAATAAAATATGCAATAGTTATTACTAAGCAAAGAATGAACCTGGAACACTTCATGTGAGGAGAGGGGATAAGCTATATACTGTAGAGCACTCAATGTGTCATATTGTACATGGCCAGACATACCAGTTTTGCAGGACAGACCTGTGGTCACATTCTGATTTAGGTTAAATCCAGAGTAAATCCAGAGCAACCACACTGACGGTCAATTGAGTTAATCTGCACTTGCACCAGCATAATTGAGATAAGACTGTGGTCCCCTGTCTCATGGCCAGTAGCAGTGTGACTGTCATTTGGTCATATTCATAGCATATATGTTTAGCTATCAATATATTAAAATCTACAGTTAACATTTGCATAGAAGATACCCTATAGCCAAATCCTCCTCCTCTATGAATAAACTATTTGGGGATTTAAAAAATCCCCCTAAAAATAAATATTTACTTGCATTTCCTTATCATGGCTTGTCTCAAATGCAATACCTATTCAGAGAGCTTTACCAAATTTCTAGGGATCAGGAATTCAGTCCAGGACTATCAAACTCAGGTGATTTGAGTGAGGAAGATTTTTTTAAAAAGATGAACATTTTAAATATCTCATGAAACACACCACAAAATGCAGTAAGGTGGATGTTTTAAACTCTGCCTTTAAATGAATTCAGAACAAGAGACTCTCTCCTGAAAATGGAAGAGACTTGGCAAATCTGGAACCTGTGAATGAAAGTCTATATTTTTTTAAAGTAAGTAAAATGTTAGTGTCTGAGTCAGGCAGCAGAATTCTAGTAAATGTTAATATCGTGTCTGTTCAGAAGACAGGAAGAGTGCAGAATCAGAGGACAATGTATAAAGCCACTATAGGTACCACTGATAGATTTTTTTGGCCTAGCAACCTTGCCTGTGTCTTTGTAATCACAGTGACCCTTTGGAATGCAGATCTCATTTATATATCAGTGATTAACTTCTATAATCTCGCTCTTTTTGAAGTCACTTGTTCAATTTGAATGCAGCACACTATTCATAAGCTCATCAGTCATATAGTGTCGGTTATAGTTAAGAGTTTTGAATTCATGAGAATTGACTGACTTTTCACAAAGAATCTGTTCCTAGTGTTGAAAAAACAGTTTCTTTTTTATAACTGCAGTATGTTTTGGGTCCAATCCAATGCTCATTTAAATCAGTGAGCATTGGATCATCCCTAACAGAAGAAGCACATATTTCAACAACAGAAATACAGTACTGCTTCTGAAGCATAAAGGTAACCCCATGTTTGTACAGGCATTTTTTGTATACTCTTTCATGTTGGGCTTACAATTCTTTGGTTGCACAGATATAAAACTCTTCTTCACCAATTGTTTTTTTTGATTCTGGAATAAAAGAGTCTTCATGCTCAAAAACAATCAATTTTGTAAACAATTATTAAAAACTAGTTGAGTGTTTTAAAAGTATTTTATATAAATTTGTGTGACATTGCTTAACACAAACAATTGTTCTTTTATCTGTAGTAACTTAGTAGTTTAATCATTTAAACTTACATTGCCATTCATGTATGTTTCCATTTACAGTTATATCTTGCAAGTGACCATAAATCATTTATGAGATTTGCTAAAAAATCATACCTTCAGCAAGTGTTTTTGACAGATGAGCTCTCCTATCTGACTTGCTGGCAAGCTACCTTTTTGGATCCACAGCTGCGTCTTGAATATGAAGGATTTCCAGTTCCTGTAAGAAATTATGTAGAAAGTAAAACCCTAGTAAATGTTAAGAGTATTTAATTAATGCTATCGATAAACCATTTTTAAAAAGTTGCATTCATTTTATTCTTTACAGTATTCTGAAAGTCGTGGTGAAAAGCAAATTATCCATACATAACTGGGGGAAACGGGGGAAACAGTCTGCAAATGATAGCTAATGGTTAGAGCAGCGGGCTAGAATTCAGCATTCTTGGGTTCCAGTGCTAACTTTGGGGTTGACTTGCTGTGCAATTAGGATAAATATTTGGGCCAAAATTTTAAAAAGTGGCCATTGATTTTGGGTGCCTCGGGTTCTGCAGTTGAATTTGTAACCCCCACAGTCTGACTTTCAGAAGCACCGAGTATCTGCAATTCCACTTCTAATAATAGGAGCTGTGATTGCTCTTTACTTCTGAAAATAAGGCCCACAGAGCTCCAAAAAATGGAGGTACCAAAAATTAGTGGCCACTTTTGAAAATATGGCTGCTAACCTCAGTGTGTATATGTAACATGAATGTAATACTTACCTCACAGACGTGCTGGAAGTTTAATTAATGCTTCTAAAATGCTTAGAGATCCCTCAGTTAGACTTCTATAGTTCAAGGTAAATGTGAAGTAATGATGTTATATTATTAATATAACTGTTCCTCCACTGCCAGCCACTACTTCTGTTGTAATATATGTCTGTGAAGCTTCTGACTCAAAGTCTGGTTAAAATTATGTAATTGATTAAGACAATATTCTCTTTTCATGGCAGTTTTAAAAATATTTTTAAACAGGTTAATTTAAGATCAATCCTGTTGTACTTTAAAAATAAATTAAAAGTGCTCTTTGCAAAAATGTAACAATACAGTCAAAATTTATTTTTAAAAATGCAGAGGCCCCAATTCTAGACTGTGCCCCAGCACATTTTATTGTGGAAACCAGAAGGATCTCTCCACCAGGAAACACCAAGTGAAACTGGGATTCCTCTGGTGGCATAGGACCATTCCCTGGCTTTACACTGCTCTTTTTCACAGGCCCAGCACTGGGGCATGCCCATGAAGGGAAGAAGTGTATTGGAGGAGAGAGCTTTGAGCAGGGGGTTGGACTAGATGACCTCCTGAGGTCTCTTTCAACCCTAATCTTCTATGATTCTATGAGTGGGAGTGGCCAGAATGCTATACATTCAGCTACTGTGGGCTACTGGATGTCCCTTGGGGATCGCTGCAGTTAAGTTGTAAAACCAGCTTATTTACACTGTGGGCTGGACGAGCCCATGACAGTCCAGTATCAATGAGGTACAAAGCGGCCCAGAATCAGAGCTTGTGTTTTTAACATGTTATATTCACTCACTCAAAACATTTCACTTGCAGGGCAAAAAGACGTTTGAACAACAGTCTTTAAAAGGTCTGTGAAAAAGATTCTCTTGTTCTTTCTCTAGGCAAATACTAAAGTCCTTATCACTCATTGCCATACAAATCGGGGTTTAGCAGTTCCTAGGAACTATTGGATAAGGTAAGTGTAATTTATGACAATATAAATATCAGGGATGTTTTTCATGAATCATGATATAATGATGTACAAGTTCAGTATATCAAGAATATAAGCAATGAGACAAGTGCTCTAATCATACATTTAGTGGGAAAACAAAAAGAGTGCAGAACACATTCACTCACTCTCAATTTATTGTCAGGCTGTAATTTAGTTCTACCCTGGGTCTGCAATCAATCAGCTCAACCTTTTTCACATTTTCCTCTCAGATTTCTCTCTTTCTTGGATGGTTCAGTTCCCCCTTTGAATATTCTGACCAATTGTAGTCCTTTATTTGTAGAGAAAGTTGGGTATGAGGAAGTGTCATAGATCAGAAATATATATTTTAAAACAATGCAGGAAATTGCATGCAGGATACATGGGACTCTCACAAAAACCAAGTTAATATATAGGTGTGAATGTAACTCCTGCATTGAATTAGTATTTTGACTCTACATTGTTAATGAGTATAACAATTCTTTCTCATTTAATTCCAAACAAAATTCAGCTCAGAATCTATATCAGACCCTCATGGAGGCCTTTGAGGCAGAAAGTTTGCTGGGGTGAGGTTGAAATGGTGAAAGCCAGGGAGCTTGTAATAACCCAGCACAGCCCCCAAAATCGGTAGAGTTGGCTGGGGAACTGGGTGTTTTCAGTGCAATCCTATATCAATGGGGCACCTGTAGCACTCCAACTAAAAAGAGCTGCCATTCACCAGTGGAAATTCTGAAGGAAGGCAGGCAGCAGCAGCAACACCTGTTCTTCCTCAGGATGAATGAATACTCCCTGGAGTGCTTTGGGATTTAGCTGGGTGAATCTGGATCATTGCTAACTTTTCCTCTTGGCTTTTGATTTCTAAAATTATAATTGACAAAGTTTTTTAAAATGCATGAATAATATGGCTTAATAAACCAAAAACTATGTGAGACGAGGTATTTGCAAATTGGTTAGAGGGGTAATTTACAGTTTATATTGACTCACCGTTAACTTCTGAGACAGAGAGCATGGAGTATATAGTCATTATATCCAGCCGTGCTACTATTTTCTCTTGACAGGTCGTACTTTGGAAAGGAATATGAAGTCATCTGTCACACCTATCTGGATTCCCATAAAGCTGAAGAAGATAAGAATTACTGGATAATAGTAACTGCGAATCCCAGTGATGATGGAATTACTATGTTTGACAGACCTAAGCCTCCCTCAGAGGAGACCAGAGAGAGAGAGAAGAATGAACTTTATGCAGGAACATAGAATGTAATAGTCCAAGGTCAAAAACTTTCATTTTATTTATGCTTTTAGAAAATGGAAATTCTAATTTTGATGATGATAATTAGAGCTTTGAGTGCACTTCACACTTTCTCTATTCACATTTTATTTTTAACCCTAGATTCATTTATTTTATAAGCAGTTATGAAAATCTGCCATTAATTACACTGGGAAACCTCATTGAAGTCAGTGGGGTTTCACTTAAATGTAACTGAGGACAGAATTTGGTCAATAAAACTGGTGATCCATATACAAGCTCAACTCCAGGAGTTTTCTTAACCAAGCAAGGCTTGATTTTCCCATTTTGATATTCACTGATGGTAACAGATGTGTCAGAAATTAGTAACACTAATGGCTTTTCCTTAACAGTCCTAAGAACTTATTTAACTACTTCTTTCAAAATAACCCACTGTCTCCTTTTTAAGGATAATGGATATATGGTAGTTTCCAAAACATTAAAAGCCAAAGGCATGCCTGCTTATCATTGGAATCTTCGACACTTAAAGACCAACTCAGAGAACCTTATGTCAATTGAACTCACTTTTTCCTCTGGCTAGCACAGCATTGCCAAGTGTTCAAAAATCATAAATCAGGCTTCAAAATCATAAGATTGGCTTACAGATTGTGACTTTTTAAAAAAATAGTAATTTGGGGATTCTTTACATTTGCCTTTTGGATGTTGAGTCTTTAGGAATCATGTATTCAAGCTTTTCTCCAGAATTACAAGGCTGGGATGGATGAGCAGCAGCACTCTGACAGGCTATTGGTATACAACAAGGGAAGGAAATTTTTGGCCAAAGGTACCAAGACAAATCTCTATTCTTATAAAAATGGCGAGGAATCTTTAATGTCCAAGCAATTCAGACAAGACCTTGGTTTTTAAAGTTTTACCAAAATAAGTTTCAAGGAACTCTGCAAGGGCTGATTTGACCCTGTCATGAGTCCGAGCTGTATTTCTAGAGTCTGTCTGATTCAAATCCAGTGCCTAGGACTTTTGAACCACTGCCTGCATCCAATATAAATGATCAAATTCTTCTTCCTGGAGAACAAGAAATAAAGACAAAAAATTATGAAAGTAAGAAAAACTGATCATCCATTTGCTTGCTGCAAAGCTGAAAAACTACTGATGTTTGTGTACAAATCTATTGGTCTACAGTACCTAGTGAGTTTCTCTGTTATATACAGTAGTTAATTCCAGTCCTTGTAGGTACAGTGATAACTTTAAAAAGAAAGTAAACAAAAATAAGCACTGACTGAATGGGTTGTCTTCTGTGTAACTTTTTTGGATGTTCTCTTGCTGCCACAATAAGCCAAATATATTGTTCATAGAATTGCCCTTTGCCCTTTTCCCATGACCATGCCAAATGGCAGATGGTAAACAAACAGATCTGGCTGCTCTGGTGGTTTAGTGGTAACAATGTGCATAGTTAATGGGCCTCTAAATTCTCCTGCCGCCTTAATCAATCTACAGTTGTTGCTTGCAGTGCTTACACATGCTAAAAATAAAAGCATCTTATTGTTTGCAATTATAATCCAAAACTGTAACCTATTTTAACATAATATATTGTTAGACAAAGACAAACAAGTGCTTTATTACAGGGAAGAATTTGAATTTCACAAGGCATAAACCAGTCGCATACATTTTTACCTTGGCTATAACTCTAACAGATGAATCCACTACAATTTAACTCAGTATTTTTATAATGTAATGGCGTCATGATATGTTATAGTACAGGGGTCGGCAACGTTCAGCACGCGGCTCGCCAGGGTGCTGAACCTGGCGAGCCACGTGCCGAATGTTGCCGACCCCTGTTATAGTATAAACAATTAATCTCTTTTTAAAAATCTTATTTTCTTTTTAAAATTGAGTTTCTCTAAGATTTTAGTATAATCCTACAGTTCTCAACACTGGTCACAAGATGGCAACCTTTTTAAAAAAAACAACAGTCCATCTGAACTGCTTTAAACATTTTAATCAAAATCATCCCTGATATATAACTCCACAAAACTTAATCAAGTTACAACAGGCTTGAATTAAGGCTATTAGGTGTTTCCAGAGTGTTGTTTCCTGTTTTTAGAACATGAAATTTAATTTTTAGGAAGCAAAACTAGGCATAAGGACACTTGAAACCACTCATATGAAGTCAGTTTCTGAAAGACAGCTAACAGGAATGGAAAACAATTAAGAACTAAAACAAGTTTATAGGAAAGAGTATCTTTAGAACCCGTTTCCTTTATTTTCTAAACATAGAAGTACTCCTAGCTGCAATATATGATAGACAGCATAAACTATTTTAGGGCCACTGTACTACCTACTCTGTATACAGCAATCTTAGTTCTAGAGAGATATTTGGGGATTATTAAAAATCTGCAGATTTTTCCAATAAAACTCTATAATCCTACTTAGAATAGGTATTTTTGTATCTGATACACTGGGAAAACTCAGTGTTCAATAACACACACACTTGTATTTTGACCTCTGTGGTGGTGAATATATAGGGCTTTAATTTAAAATGTTATATGGCTCAATATCAACTCAAAATTTGAACAAGTGTGATGTAGACTTCTTTGCATGATGGTGGGCTTGCTTCTTCATGCACACTTGGCATGTATAGTTAACATTCTGGCTTCTTTTTGTGCAGAGGGAGGGAAGGAGAGTTACCTGCTGACCCCATGCTGCAGAAAACCCGCTGGTTAGATTCTTTCTTCCAAGGAGAAGGTTATTTATTTAATTCTGAGGGCTGAGTCTTTTGTTTTTTAACTGCACCCAGGGCCAATTAGAGGGGGGGCCTGGAGGCCTCAAGCTCAAAGGGAGCCTCAAATTTAGACACCTGTTAATTTTTTGGCATTTGATAAGTTTCACAACTTGTGTTTATGTGCATCCCTATCAGACCAAAATGTGACACACTCTCACAGCCTAGAGCTGCAAATTTAAGCAAATAAGAGATGTGATTTGTTTTTTTGTTGACAGATATAGATTTTGTCATATTAAAGAGTTAAAAATGTTCATAAATATTAATAAAAATATATCGGTTCTGATGGCGCAAGATTAGACCGTGATGAACGTGTCCTCTCAGATCAGGTGATTATATAAATAAACCACTACTAGTGGCTAGTGCTGGATCAGGTGCATGTTGAAAGATTGAGAATAGTTACATTTTAGTGTCTTTATAGTTTTACGTCTAGTTGACTCAGGAATTATTTATGTATGCTAATTCCTCATTATTATCTTCATATGGTAGCTAAAAAAGGTGACTGGTTGGTTGGTTGAGCCCTAGCTTGGTAGCTTGGCCATCATCTTATGCTTTCGTAGTCTATAGGCCCAGATTCAAGGTGAAAATTTGTGAGGACACTCTTGTACAGTGAGTTTTGTGAGGACACATGTTTGAAATTTTTGGACATTATCCCTCTGTCTGTATCCGTGTCTGTGTTTACTATATATATATGTCATCCCTTTGTCTTCAGCTCAGCCTGTTATATTATACCTTGCGTGCTTGAGTTTTGATTCAGTGATAAGGATAATAACCTGTCTGACTGTTTCATTTTGTGGTCTTAATTAGTATTCCTTTGTTTTAAGTCTTTTCAGCATTTGTGTACCATTTAGCATTTGTGTACATGTTTACAGTAGAAGATTTCAAGTGTAGATAAGATACTTATTTACATCAGAATATTTCAAGTGTGGATAGGCTATATATTTACTTTAGAACATTTTAGGTGTAAACAGATCAGATAGATCACTCTGAAGAGGAGATTTGAAAGTGGTGCAAGCAAGAGACGGCAAAAACAATGGAGTGAAGAAGCAGCTAAGAGCTCAAAGCCAATAACTTCATTTCTCAAATCACTGGAAAACACACCTTACCCAAAAACCAATGCTACAAATAATGAAAACTCCACAACTGCAACAGGTGATATTTCAATGCCAATACCTGAACAGTAGTCGGGAAGGAGATGTGCCAACAGTAACAGATGCAGGAGAAGATCCTGTGTACGATCAAGAAACTCAACAGCAACAGGAAGATGTAGCTCTTATGCAGCAAGAGCAATTCATGAGTACTACAGGTTTGACTGTGACTGACATTGGAATTATTGACCAGAGCAATGCTGCCCAAATGCAATCTTTTCTTCAAATTAGTTGTTTTGAAATTCCAAGTAACATTCCATGAGATGCTGATAATCATGCTTTCCCTACTCATCTGACCTGCACAAAAGACTAGTTATGCTGGAGTACGTATGCTCTGTACTGTGCACCAGGCTTCATTTTGAACAAAAGTGCTGCAAATGCATCAGTTCTCTCTGATCAATCAGGATGGAGCATCAACAAAGGTTGGAGGAAATTGAAAGACCGAATACCATCACATGAGAATTCAACATCACACAAAGAAAACTGTGTTGCATGGAAATCAGCCAGTAGGGCAGCATCAGCTGAAAGTTCAGTTGAGAATTTACTCTTGACTGAACTCTCTACAGAAACTAATAATTGGAAAAAAACTTCTTGAGCGCATCCTGAATGTCATCCTTTTTCTTTCTGAGCGGGGACTGGCTTTCTTTGGTTTCAGTCAATGTATTGGTGATCATGGAAATGGAAAGCTTCTAGGCATAGTTGAGCTCCTCAGCAAATATGACCCACTTTTATCAGAGCATGTTAAATATGTTCGAGAATCGCAAGAGAGTCAGAAGCGCATGCAAGTCCATTATCTCTCCACACGCATACAAAACGAGTTTATTGAGCTATGCGGGTCATTCGTACAAACAACAATTCTTGATGAGATTCAAAATGCCAAGTATTTTTCAATCATTGTTGATGCCACTCCAGATTGTTCTCACAAGGAACAGACTACTATGGTTATTTGATATGTTAAGATTGTAGACAGCTCAAAATTTTCAATTGAAGAAAGGTTTATTTTGTTTGATAATTTCACAAGAAAAACTGGAAAAGAAATTGCTGCTCGAGTACTAGCAATTCTAGAAGGTTTTAAGTTAGATTTTCAAGTCTGCATTGTTCAAGCCTATGACAGTGGATCTAATATGGCTGGGAAATACAAAGGTGTACAAACAGTTCTGCTTGAGCATAATTCAAACTATTTTTTCCAGCTGTGGAAACCACACTCTAAACCTTGTAGGTGTTGACGGTGCTGAATCATGCAAGGAGGCAATTACTTACTTTGGAGCTGTTCAGCAAATGTACAATCTCTTCACTAGCAGTCCAAAAAGGTGGGAAATTCTGA